GGGAGCGAGGGGGGGGTAGAGAGTCGAGAGGGGAGCTGAAGGCACGGTCAAAGAGAAAGGTCTTGAGACCGGCCTTGAAGGAGGAAAGGGAGGAAGCGGCGAAGGCACTGGGGGATAGAGTTCCAGAGCGTAGGGACTGAGAAGCTGAAGGCCCGGCCACCGATGGTAGGGCGGTTGGGGCGGGGGGTGTGGAGCAGATCGGAGCTAGAGGAATGGAGGGTACGGGCAGGTAAGTAGGAGGATAGTAGGTCAGAGAGGTAGGAAGGAGCAAGGCCATGAATGGCCTTGTAAGTGAGGATGAGGATCTAGAAATCGATCCTCTGGGGGATGGGGAGCCAGTGGAGGCGAGCGAGGGTGGGAGTGATGTGGTCGCGGTGTCTGGTGCGGGACAGTACACGAGCTGCAGAGTTCTGAATGACCTGCAGTGTGGAAGGAGGGCCGGGAAGGCCGGCGAGGAGAGAGTTCCCATAGTCCAGCCTTGAGGTGATATGTGTGAATCTGCCTCACTTGGCTGTTTCGTCAACGGTTCCAGTTTTCAAAGTTGCCCACATAGAATCATAGTATCATTGAATCTTACAGCATAGAATGAGGCCATTTGACTCATCGGGCCTGTGCCTGCTCTTTGAAAGAACTCTTTGAAAGGGATTACTTTTTAAGTACACATCCAATTCCCTTTTGAAAGCTAATATTGAATCTACTTCCACCACCCTTCAGGCAGTGCATTCCAGACATATGTCTGGAAAAATAGTACAAATGACTGATCTCTCAGTGGACTGTGATGCTCAGACATCTCAAAGTGAATCAACATAGCGGTTCACTTTGCAGCCAAGTGACTCTTGGTAGGTGGTCCAATCTGCATCAGCCATCATCCAAAAATATTGATGACTATAATTTGTGTGTGTGTGTGTGTGTGTGTGAGGGGGTGGGGGCTGGATAAGGCAATAATACTGGATAAAATGCAGAATATTAATTCTTGCAGTAGAATAGAGGTTGTACCTTCGATAATGCAGCTTTCGCTCAGTCCTACACTGGATCTTAAGTTTAGATTGACAGCTCAAGTCCTGGCAAACCCACGATCTTCTGCCCCCAGGAATGAATCATGAAAATATTTTAAATTCAATCTTAATTTGGAAACTGGTACTTTTTAAGAAGCGCAAAAAAAAATAAGCTTCCAAACTAAGACTGAATTTAGGAATCCTTCTGGAGAGACGTAATAATAATAGCAATAATCCTCACATTTGATTCATCGACTTATCACATTATTGAGACACCTCAAAGTACTTTGCAGGATCTTACTGCGTATTTGAAGTCAAATGTGGAAGCCAATTTGTGCACAGCAATGCCCCTCAAACAGCCATGAATTAAGTACCCAATTTTATTTTAGGGGATTGCTGGCCAGGACACTGGGAGAAAATCTCTTCTTTTCAAATAGTGCCATGGGATCTCTTTAACATCCATCTAAGCAGGCAGATGGACCTCGTTTTTTTTAAAAACAAGGTGCTAGGGCATGAAGGTGGACTTTAAAGGTCCCATTGGTGAGGGTGGGTTTGTCTCATTTGAGGATTTAAAGAGTTGTTTGACCAGTTTTTTGGATACTCTGGAACACTCTTCCTCTATCCCTCCGCCTTGCCCATTCCTTTCCCATTCTTCAGATCATTCGTGAAGACCTTCCTCTATGACTGTGCCTGGTTCCATTCCCCTCCCCCCGGCTCGGCATCATGCTCCGAGACTATTAAGCGCTCTGGGCTGCTACCCTGCGGCTTCTCCTCTAGCCCCCGCACTGTCACGTGCAGCAGTCCTCAGGGCTCTGTCCACGGTCCCCTCCTCTTCAACATATACAAGCTTCCACTCGGTGATGCCATTTTCAAGCATGGGGTCAATTTCCACATGTATGCGGATGATATCCAATTCTATCTCACCTCCTCCACCCTCGGCTCCAGCACCGCTGTTGCCTGGCTTATTGCCTGTCAGACATCAAGTCCTGGTCGAGAGACAACTTCCTCCACTTGAATGTTGGCAAGAGAGAAGCCCTACTGCTTGGCTCCTGTCAGCGCCTCCTCATCTCAGGCACTGACAGTATTACTATTCATGGTTGCACTCTACACCTCACTGAGCCAATGCGGAACCTTGGTGTCCTGTTCAACCCTCCGCTATCTTTCAAACCCCACATTTGTGATGTGACCCATTCCGCCTTTCCCCACCTCCACAACATTGCCCGCCTCCGCCACTGCCTCTCACCACATGCTGCCAAGAACCTTATCCACGCTTTTATTGCGTCCCTGCTTGATTACGCCATCTGCCTGCTTGTTGGACTTCCCAACTCTTCTCTCCACAAAGATTAATCAGAACTCTGCAGGTCATGTCCTCTCTCGAACCAGGTTCCACGAACCGATCACCCCCATCCTTGCCCGGCTTCACTGGCTGCCCATCCCTCCGAGAATCGAGTTCAAAACCCTCGTTTTCACCTTCAAAGCCCTCCATGATCTTGCTCCCCCCTACCTCTGTGACCTCCTAATCCCACATCAGCCTGTCTGCTCCCTCTGCTCGGTGGACACTGGCCTGCTCCAGGTCCCCTGCGCTTCCCGCCCTACCGCTTAGCAGTCGAGCATTCAGCGTCTCTGCCCCCACACTCTGGAACTCTATCCCACGATCCCTCCACCTCAACCCCTCTCTTGCCTTCTTCAAATCCCATCTGAAGACCTTCCTCTTCATTCGGTCACTTTCCCACCCCCACCCACCAGCTCTCCACCCCTCCTGCACCCAACTCCAAACCTCGATTGTCCAGTGCCCTGGGACATCTTTGCAATGTGAAGGGCGCCATTTATTGTTGTTGTTGTGAGGGCGCTATGTAAATGCATGTTGTTGTTGTTCCTGCTACAACTCTGGAACACTCTCGCTCAATCCCTCTGCCTCTTCCCTTTTTCAAGTCCTGCCTGAAAACTTTCCTCTTCGACCGTGCTTAACAGCCACCTCCCCACCACAGCCCCCTCGGCTCGGAGTCAAGCTCTGCCACTGTTAAGCGCTCTGAGACGCTACCCTGTGTGGAGGGCGCTATATAAGTGTAAGTGGTTGTTGGTGTAGTTTCCCCTGAAACATATCTGGTATTAAAAATAAATTCTATTTTATTAACACAAATATGAAACTTTCACCCTAATTTGGGGGAGGATCTGACTTTTAGCTTCAAACAGATTACTGGAACCTTGTAATTTCTGGGGTGTGTCTTTTTTTTACACTCATTTTAGTCAGTCAACGTGTATGAATTAAATCCTTGTATATGAGGATGCAGCCTCATATCCTGTGATTCATTGTCTGCTGTTGCATCATGTGGATGAGAGCTAACTTTCCTCAGTTGAACGCCAACAAGACCAAGGCTCTCCTAATTGGCTGTCTCACATCGCAGGCTGCCGAAACCTTCATCCACTCCTTCATTACATCAACGCTCAACTATTCCAAACTCACTGCTTGTCGACCTCCCCAACTCCTCCCCCCACAGGCTGCAGATCATCCAGATCTCTGCAGCCCGTGTCCTCTCCCGTACCAGGCTCTGCGACCCTATCGCCCACATCTTTGCCCAACCCCACTGGCTCCCCATCACAGAGGATACAGTTCAAGTTCATGGTCCTCACCTTCAAAGCCCTCCACGGTCTTGCTCCCCCCTACCTCTCCGACCTCCTAACCCCCTCCCACCCTGTTCTCTCCCTCCGCTCAGCGGGCTCCAGCCTGCGTCACGGCCCCCGCCTTGCTTGCCCACTATCGGCGGGCGGGCCTTCCGCCACTCTGCACCCACCCTCTGGAACTCCGTCCCGCAGTCCCTCCGCCTCGCCCCCTCCCTCGCCACCTTCAAGACCCACCTCTGCGACTGTGCTTTGGACCTCCCGGCTTCCCCCCCCCGACCCCCACCAAGGTCCATAACTCTTGTCTGTCCAGCGCCTCGGGACGCCCCACCGACGCGAAAGGCGCTACGCGCGTATAATGTTGCCCCGACGTGAAAGGCGCTGTGCAAATGTAATCTTGTTGTTGTTGTTGTTGTTGTTGAATGACTTCCCATGTGATTGACAGGAGAGAGAGAGAGAGAGAGAGGGAGAGAGGGGGAGAGAGGTGGGAGTGACGTCACGGCAGGTGCGAAGGGGCGGGGCGGACTGGGGGGGGGGGCGGGGGCTGAATTGTCGTGCGCGGTGACGTCACGGCGGCGAGGTGGGCGACGGAGCGCTTTCAGGGTGACGCGCGGCGCGGCTGACGTCACGGAGGTCCCGCCCCCCCTCCCCGGGCCCCGCCCCCAAGTGTTGCAATTTCACAGCTGACAGAGAGAGTGAGAGAGAGAGAGAGAGAGAGCAACACAGTGCGACCAAAGCCGCACAGAGACCCCGAGCGGCTCAGCCACTGCCGACTGAGGGCATCTGCCATCCAAACCCCCCCCCAGAGAGCTCAACACACAGCCCCTCACAGCAGCCGACAGACATGTGAGTGACTTTCACGCTCATATTTACTGTGTGTCATTTATTTTGCAGGACGATGGCTCATTGTTTTCCAACCGATGCCAATGGAAAATGCAGATGGGGTTATTATTATTATTATTATTATTATTATTATTATTATTATTATTATTAATAAATCCCGATCAGTCGCATCCGTTGGTTTGCAAACGAATGGATGGGATGGATGGAGACAAGAGAAAGCCGCACGTTTTTTCCTTCGCCCGCAATGAACGCATTGCATCGCCATCATCGCAATGACGATCGTGCGGTTGAAGGGTAAAAAAGGGTTCATTGGTGTTGGGGGGAGAGAGAGAGAGAGAGAGAGAGAGAGAGGGGGCGACGAAGTTTGGTTCAGTTGTTAATTTTAGATGTTCATTTTTCAGCTCTCGGTGTAAAAAAACTGCTGCGATCTCCACAGAGAGGAACCCACTCCTGGTTTCCTTGACATATATATATATATATATACCCATTCGAAAATTTGTCATTCATATAATCTCCTGTTTTATGTCCCCCCTTTAGCTCAGTTGGGGGTTAGGATTTAACGCTTTGTTAACTTCATTCAGTCCATGTGTAGATCCTGATTGCCGGAAAATCGAGTTGCATGTGGCTGCAGATCTTGTATTATTGTGATTAATGACTGTAAGATTCGCAGGTGTTTTGGGGATGTGTTGATTTTTATTACAAATTGCTTTCAGACAGAGATGGCCATCGTCTTCGGGGCAAATATTCAGACACGTTACACACTGCTTTTCCTGTGAATCAGTTCGGAAATCCAAGTGAAACGGCTCCATTCTGAATTCATTCAATTTCAGGTGAAAGTCTTCATTAAAATGACTTCTTGTATTCTCGGTGCAATCACTGGAACCTCTCTCCAACCCCTCACCCCTCATCCCCCCACCACCACTCCCACCCATTCAAACAAACGTCTGGGAAACTATTGTATTTCCTGGTCGCCATGAGTTTAAGAAAAGATGGTTATAAACGTTATTAACGTGATTTTATTTGGGCCAATTCAGGGATTGTCAGTGTGGACACAACACTGGACAGATCCGATGCTTTAAAAGCGTAGGCAACTACTTGCAGATGAACACAAAGGGGTCTGGTTTCACTCCCCCTCCCCCAAGTCATCTGTAATTCTGTCGCTAAGGATGACTTCAGCCTCTCCACCTTCCCTTTTCAAAGCCGTTTCCTTATCCCAGGGCGGTAAGGTGCAGTGATAGCAAATGTATAGGAGTGGCGGGGAATTTAGGAAACAGGGCGACGGGTCGATTGATGTCGGACAGTGAGAGGAGGAACTCCCCACAATTCTCCTGATGCTGGCAGTTATTGGAGAAGCTTGTCGGATTAATGACCGTGTTTCTCTGATGAGTGTATCTGTTTCAAAATGATATTGCTTTCACTCAGTTTGTCACAGAACTCGAGACGGGGCATATTTGTAGCCAGGTGACCAACACCTCATCTGGGGGCTATCCCCGGAAATCCGGACGTATGGCGACCCGACTTGGGTGAAATTGCTGGTGCTCACTGCCAATTCTCTTCCGACTTGTTTTCTGATGGACTAAAACTGATCCTGTCAAAGCCTGGAAAGGGGAAGGATAATAATCTCCTAAAATAAAATTGGTCACTCAATCCACGACTGGTTGTGGGACACTGCTGCGCGCAATCGGCTGCCGCCTTTCGCCCACAAAATACGCAGTTAATCCATTTTACAATAAATTCTGTGAAGCGCTTTGAGAAGTCTCAACGACGTGATAAGGCGCTATATCAAATTCAAGGATTATTATTATTTCTGGCAACCCAAACCCCAGACTCTATGATGTCTGATTCCCCAAATTATCTGGGAAGAGTAATACAAGGGAAACATTTGTGTCACGGGAGTTAAACTGGAGCAGGCAGCTCCATCCACCTGCGAAACTCTTGAATTATACATGAGATCAAAGTCACCTTTTAAGCAGACTGAAATTACACCTTGTACCGGTCTGCAATTCTGTTTGTTGCATCTTGTCTTCAAAATTTAAGCAGAATTGTGGAAAATTATGAATTTTTGTCTTAATTTGACAGCGGGTTCTCAAGGAATTGCAGATATCCGGCTTCCAAACTGTGATGACATTTATGAATGTTCCATAATTTTGCATGATTTTCAATTTTAACAATAACGACAACAACAAATTACATTTGTCAGTGCCTTTCACGTCAGCAGGATGTCCGAAGGCGTTGGGCATTCAAGGATTTGCACCCAAGCTGGGGGTTGGGATCAGGAGAGGTGGAGGGCAGGGAGAGTGGAGGCTAGGAGGGATGACCAAAGGTGAGGTTGAAGAGGAGCGTCTTGAGACGGGCCTTGGAGGAGGTGAGGGAGGGGGTGAGGTGAAGGGACTCTGGGATGGAGTTCCAGAGTGTGGGGGAAGAAGGCCTGACCCCCAATGGTGGGATGGGCAGAGCAGAGGACGTGGAGCAAGCCTGAGTCCAGAGAGCGGACAGGTCGTGCAATTTTAAGATTTAATCTGCCCTACAGGTTAAGATGAGGTGGAATTTCAGGCCACCTTTTAGTGACTCACTAACCAGGACTTTAGGGAAATGTCAACAGTGAATCAGTAATAGTACACAGTTCAATATGTGTGGGTGTCACTTGTTAAAAATATCCACACCTCGGTAACAGATCTCTCAACAGCCAATGTCCTCCGGGGTCAAGTTTCAGGCTATTTCTTTTTTAAAACATTGCAAACCGCTAATAGGAGTCCTGTAGCTCAGTGGTTAGAGCACTCGCCTTGCAAGCGAGACACCTGGGTTCAATTCCAGGCAGAGGGCGAAACCTTGGGCAAGTTTCCTTACTCCACACAGAGCCTAATAATAATCCTCCAAAACAAAAATAAATTGGTCATTTTCGATCCACGACTGTGGGATACTGCTGTGCGTAATTGGCTGCCGCGTTCGCCCACAAATATACAGTCAATTCACTTTACAGCATATTCTGTGAAGCGCTTTGAGACGTCTAGAAGATGTGAAAAGCGCTATATCAAATGCAAGGATTGTTATTATAATAGGCAACCAATATATATAAAAGTAAGACTTTTAACACAGGGGAGAGCTGATTATCCTCATTAAATGTGGATGAAAAAAGTATGCACACAACAACAACAACTTGCAACTACATTGCACCCTTCACACAGGATAGCGTCTCAGCACCACAAAGTGGTCGGGTTGAATACGCGGAAGGGAAAGGGTTGAGGGGAAGGTGGCCATAGATATGGTCAAAGAGGTAGGTAAGTCTGAAGAAGGGATAAGTAAAGATAAGGAGGTGACGAGATGGAGGGACAGAAGCAGATGTTCCAGAGTTGTTAGGGGGATTGTGGCATCAGGGGCCACATGTGCGTTTATTGAGCAAAGGAGGCAGGCAGTGGGATAATGAGTATTGACTATAACAACAACAAATTATACTTGTCTCGCACCCTTCATGTTGGAAAGATGTCCCAGAGCACTGGGCAATCAGGAGTTTGGGAAACGACCTGGGAGTTGGGGTGCTTTATAGTCACAAATTGTCTATAGTGCGAAAAAGATTCTTCTATCGGGAGTGATACTGTCACTGTAGAACCACACGGGGTCTAAATTTATTTGTTATTTATTGTTATTTGTGCAACATTTAAGAGTATCCAGAATTTGGCAAATTGTTGAATTCCATCGCACCTTTGAAGCCGATTTTGTGTCAGTCTTAAAAGAAATTTGTAAAAAACTCTGATTTTAAAATAAGGGCCATATTTAAACACGAATGCCCTGAATGCTCTGAATTGCAATGTTAATAAGTAAATTGTGACCTGGGTGGAATTCACCTCGCAAGCGAGAGGACCCGGGTTCGATTCCCGGGTGGGCTGAAACCTTAGGTAAGATTCCTTGCTCCACATGCCTCGGAGTAAGTAGGAACTCAGTTGGTAGTTGATCGGCAGATCGCTCTCCAGTGGTAATAATCCCACTCAATCCACGATTGTTTGTGGGATATAGCTGTGCGCATTTGACTGTGTGTTTTGCCCACAAAATACACAGTCAATCCACTTTACAATATACTGTGGAGTCCCGTAGCTCAGTGGTTAGAGCACTCCCCTAACGGGACCACCATTGTAATTATATTTAGCCAGAAATTCCAGCTCACCTGACCTGATCTCCCACCCTCCCTATTGGTCTGGCTAGCTGGGGTTTTAGTGCATATCCTCTGTGAAGCTCTTTGAGACGTCCTCCTGACGTGAAAGTCGCTGCATTATATGGAAGGAATGTTCATTGAGTAATAATCCTTGCATTTAATATAGGTTCCTTGAACATCGTCGAGACTCCTCAAAGTGTTTATTAATATCATAGTACATCATGTGGTAGTGCAGTAGCTTTAATCATTGCATGGACAACAAAAATAACAATTTAGGTTTAATAATAATAATCCTTGCATTTGATTTAGTGCCTGATCACATCTTCAAGACGTCTCAAAGAATATACTATTAATTGAATTGACTGTATATTTTGTGTTATAACACCTTTCACATCGGGAGGACACCTTAAACCACCTCAATAATTGTGAGGTGAAACCGGGTAGTACTTACAGCATATCCCAGCATGAGCTCGGGAACGCAGCATTTGAGCTTGAAGTTGATGGGACAGTGAATTGGAGCACTGCTGATGCCAACGGGATTCACATGGCCTGATGCACATGCTGTGGGTCTCTCAGCACAGCTGCATTTCTTTTGCTGGAGAAGGAGATTCACAGTGTAATGGCACCATCTCCCAAAAAGGCAGAAGTGTTTGCTTTAGCTATTTGTCACTTCTGGTTTGCATCACCGTGAGCAAGACATATAAATAACTAAAGTTGTGAAATATGGTATGAACTGCGTTTATGCTGTGCTGCATGGCTTGTTATGAGTGTTACAATTTTTTTTTCGAAAATGTCTCATTGAAGTGGATGAAGCCTGACAGTGAGTCATTTGATCATAGGAACTGTCACAGCCAGGGGAAATCCTGTCCTCACATAAGGAGGTGAATTCAGTTTTCTGAAGTTCCTGTTTAATTCTTTTAGTTTTAGTCGTAAAACTACCGTTTTAAGACTTATGATCAGTTATTATTAATTTCTTAAATTACTGCACGTCAGAAGTTATAAATTGACAACCAATAATGTCTTTGGTCTTGAGAGAAGACGTCTCAGGAAGTATCTTATTTAGGTGTATAAAATTTTAAATGAGTTTGAAAAAGTAAACCCAGAACAATAATAATAATCCTTGAATATGATACAGCGCCTTATATCACATCATTGAGACATCTCAAAGCCCTTCACAGGATATACTGTAAAGTGAATTGTCTGTGTATTTTGTGGGCGACAACAAAACTTTAAGATTCACTCAGATAGTAGAATATGAGGACATTGTAAAGGGCAATTTCAGGACAGACACCAAGATGTTTTTCTTTACCTCGGGGGCAATAAATGACTGCAACAGGTTTCCAGGAAGGGTGGTTGAGCCAGTACAACGGACTCATTTAAAAAAACAAGTTTGATGTTCTGATGGGAAGACAGTAGGGTGGGTATTGTTGTTTTTGTGTCCTGGAGGGTGAGATCAGATGGACTTCATCATCCAAACCAATCTTGAGATCTTGTGTCATGAAATGCAAGGATTATTTTTATTATATTGTCCCACGAGGCAGTCTGTGTGCTTGTGACCGATGGGGAGACAGATGAAGTTGACAGTGATGTGGCAGAACGACTCCGGTCCATAGAAAGAGGAAAGTGGGAATGACAGACCCATTCATTCAGCGCAGCTGGTGGCTGGCTCGGATCTGTCATTTGAAGACTTTTACACCCACCCAAGCAGTGATTGCAGGTCCCCCGCACCACCACCCCACCCTCCACAAAAAAAACAGTAAAAAGTATGTTTTAGTTTTCTGAAGTTCCTGTTTGATTTGGTTGTGTTCTTTATAACATTCCTCACCAGATGCAATTATACAGGCCTGTTAGTCCTCTGTGCTTATTACTCTGTCTAAGGAGGAGCTGGTAGATATTTTTGGAGTGTTTAATAAGTAAGTTGTCAAAGTATTTTCTCCCTGGCTCAAAGCCAAATTGTCTCCAACAAAGAAGCTGTCAACAACTGTTGTGCATTTCACACAAAGATTTCTCTGCAATAAATTATAGTAATTCTACAGTCTTTTAGTAACATTTCTTCAACTCCATCGTGATCATAATAATACGCCTTGCATTTGATACAGCGCCTCATCACGTTATTGGATTGACTGTATATTTTGTAGACGAAACAGTCAATTGCATACAGTTGATGGGTATATTTTACATTCAAATCTTGAGATTCAACAACAGGCTTCCATCTGTGCCTCTTACCAGAACAAATGTCACTTTTTCTACTTGTACACAACCCTGGTGAGTTTGCACTAGCTTCCATCTGCCTCCCCTTAAAGTTGCTTAATAATCCTCAATGTTGCAAGCTGCCTTTGTTATAAAGTTTTTCCTTCAAGGTCACTCTATGCTAAACCACACGAGGACCTCTGCTATGGGTTACGGTACAATCTAATCTGTCAATTTGTGAAGGCGTTTTTACCTCTGCTCAGTGCTTCCCTCGGGGTAGGTGGGGGGGGGGCGGGGGAGATGTGCGGGGAGATAGAGGGAAACCATGGATGCACTGATTCACTGCAGTCCAACGATAACAAATTATATAGCGCACTTCACATATGACAGATGACAGATACAAACGTTAAGGGTTTGTATCCGAGCTGGGGGTTGGAATCAAGAGGGTTATTGGATTGAAGGCATGGTCAAAGAGGCAGGTCTTGAGATGGGCCTTGAAGGAGGTGAGGGAGAGGGCAAGGCGAAGGGATTTGGGGTTGGAGTTCCAGAGGGTTGGGGCAGAAAAGCTGAAGGCCTGTCCGCCAATGGTAGAGTGGGCAGGGAGGGGGACATGGAGCAGGCTAGTGCACGTCGAACGGAGGGAGCAGACAGGTATGGTGTTAAGAGCTTGTAGAGGTAGGGAGGAGCTTGACTGTAGAGGAACTGTAAATATGAGGATGAGGATTTGACCCAATGACCCAATGCGTTAAGACTCAAATGCATTGCCATTAGTCAATTGAGGATTGTCCGAAGTGGTATTCACGGAGGGGTAGAAGGCTGGAGAGATGTCACTGGGATTCAAACACAGAATCTTCAAGTCCCCAAACCAGGGCTTAACTGATAGAGCTACCGAGGATACTGTCTGCACACAGGGAATTCACATGTATGAATGAGACATTAAACTGTGTTTGAAGCTATAACAGCTCCTGTTATTAGATGGGATAGAATATCTAAACACACTGATAAATGATCCGGAATGCACTGCCTGAAAGGATAGTAGAAACAATTCAGTAGTTTCTTTCAAGAGAAGGGGAATGAGAATATTTGAATAATAATAAATAATAATAATCCTGGCATTTGATATAGCGCCTTTGAGATGTCTCAAAGCGCTTCACAGGATATACTGTAAAGTGTAGTGACTGTATATTTTGTGACGAAACGTACCAGCCAATTGCGCAAAGCAGTGTCCCACAAACAGTCGTGGATTGAGTGACCAAATTCTTCTTATTTTTTTGGAGAGATGGAGATAGAGAATGGAGGAAGACATAGAGAAAGAGGCTGAGAGAGAGAGAGAGAGGGTGAAGCAGATGGAGACCTGAAAATTCTCCTGGTCTCAGCCCCAAGACCAATTTGGCCTCAAAAATGCAAGTCTGTGCATATTGGGTAGCTCTTTCAAAGAGCCAGCACAGGCACGATGGGCTGAATGACCTCCTTCTGTGCTGTAAGATTCTATGACACTGTAGCTTCCCTTCTACAGAGGCTTGTTTGGGTTGTCAGAGGTTTGTGTCAATATTCAATACAAGGAGTTGGCTGCTGACCACCTGATGCTGATCTGCAGCCATTCTTTTTCCCTTCTCGGCAGGTCTGAATCGCAGCGACCATCAGCAAGATGAAGACAAACACTATTGGCTGCTCATTGTGCTGCTTCCTCGCAGTGAGTACCGTTCTTACAAGCCGTGCATTGTCTCACTGTGGCTTTAAGAGCCTTGCTACATTAGGCCCTGGTATGACAACTGTTGGGGAAAACTGTGATCTTTGACTGAAGGAACTGCAGTTGGAGTGTCAAAACAATGGGACATCTAGAACTTCACACAGTTAGTTGACTCTGTGGCCCATTGTATAGACATTGCAGAGGATACAGTATTAGTTCACACAGTTGATAACCTGGGCTGTATAGCTACAACAACAACAACAACAAGATTCCATTTATAGAGCGCCTTTCACGTCAGGAGGACGTCCCAAGGCGCTGCACAGTTGGGTCATGACCCGAGCAGGGGGAAATGGTCAGGGTGAGGGGAGGGAAGGGAGGGAGAGAGGAGGGGGGAAATGGTCAGGGTGAGGGGAGGGAAGGGAGGGAGCGAGGAGGAGGAAGAGAGTCGAGAGGGGAGCTATAAGGAAAGGCTTGAAATATTGAGCCTGGATGTTGAAGATCCAATGGCGCTACTCAAAAAGAGAAGGGAGTTTCTCCCAGTGGCCTGGCGGATAGTCCTCCAGATAAAGTTCGTCATTTTGGATGAGAACATTTTCTTTTAGTTGTGTATTTGGAGGGTAAAGTGCAAAAAGTGTCATTATAAACTGAGACTATCAGGGTCTTTAAAATTACAGACCAGTAGACAGTAAGAGGGCCTTTGAATATAGGGTTAGTAAAATAATTTGTCCTTTGGATGAGACATTAAACCGAGGTCCCGTCTGCCTGTTCTGGTGGATGTTAAAGATCTCATGCATGGCACTACTCGAAAAGAGAACAGAGTTTTTGTCTCCTGGTGTCCTGGCCAACAATCCCCCAAATAAAAGTGGTCGCTCCTTTAATGGCTGTTTGTGAGACATTGCTGTGCGCAATTGCCTGCCTCATTTGCCCACAAATACACAGTCACTCCATTTCACTATCCTGTGAAGCGCTTTGAGACGTCCTTCTGACATGATAAGGCGCTATTCCAAATGCAAGGATGGTGATTATTATTATTAATAATAATCATCTACGAAGGTGACATTTTCAGACGCTCAGAGAAATGCATTTGGAAAGGGTGCAGAGGGTTAATGGAATGACAGCACTGTTAACTCAGGAACTCGTGCGAGGGAGGTTTGTTAATCCTAGGCCCAAACCCCGACAGGAGCAGTGAGGCTGAATAATTACATGTCACTAACGCTTATGTCTTGTGCTGTGATAGCTGCTGAGCTGGCACAGAGTGAGGACACTGCAGTGCGGGGTGCAGGAGTTTAAGGATAACGGAGATCAATGCGTCCCCTGCATTCACTGCTCTCCAGGACAAGAGCCTGATATGGTAACAACAACATTAACAACAACAACAGCAGCAACACATTGCATTTATATAGCGTCTTTCACGTCAGGACGACGTCCCAAGCCATTGAGTTGCCATTGCACTCAAGCTGGGGGTCGAGTCAAGAGGGGTGGAGGGCAAGTGGTGGTAGAGGTGGGAGGATGACCAAAGGCACGGTCAAAGAAGAGGGCCTTGAAGGAGGTAAGGGAGGCGGCGAGGCGGAGGGGCTCCGGGATGGAGTTCCAGAGGGTGGGGGCAGAAGGCTGAAGGCCCGATCGCTGATTGTGGGGTTCGTAGGGCGGGGGACATGGAGCAGACCAGTGCTCGCCAAGCCGAGGAAGCGGGCAAGTTGATAATGTTTTAGTAGGTCTTAGAGGAAGGGAGGAGCAACACCATGGAGATCTTTGAGGCATAATAGAAAGAGATAGAAGTGTAGATATCAGTTTGGCTCAGTTGGTAGGATTGTTGCCACTGTGTCAGAAGGTTAAGGATTCAAGCCCTTGTATGGACAGGACCAGGAAATTTGTGGAGGTGCCATCCTTTGTATGAGACATTGAAACATAGATGTATCTCCCTGTTCAGGTGGATGTTAAAGATCCCATGACACTATTTGAAGGGATATTTTTTGTCTGGTGTCCTGGCCAATGATCCTCTAGCTTAATTGGTCATTCAAATCATGGCTGTTTGCCTACAGGCCAGTTAATTTACTGCACCATAAATTCTTTACCACATGCTAAGTCTATAAAAATGCAAGTTCTTTCTCTCCGGCACCAGAGATTAAGCTTTAATGCTGTAACAGGAAGAGCCTTTGTTTGACTGTATCACAATGTTGATCTGTGTTTCTTAGGAATGTGGATATGGAAGAGGCTTGACAATGAGCTGCAGAAGATGTGCACCTGGCACCTTTTCGGACACCTATGGCTTGGGATCCTGCAGGCCACACGTGGATTGTGAGGGTTTGAAGAGGACGTTCCTTAGTCTGGGGACAGTGATGGTGGACACAGTGTGCGGCCATTGTTTGCCAGGGTAATTAATCAGCCATTTTCCTTCTTGTAAATTCCCGAGCAATAACTGGGGCAACGAGGCACAAAGCATTTACGCAGCGCTTTTGGAGGTCTGAATGCCATCACGAGACAGGAGACGGCAATCTCACATGGCCTCTGGTCTCCAATCTGCAGCAAATGTTGTTCTGTGCACAGTAAGTAGGATTATCAGTCGATTGGTGGATCCATTTCTAGGGATAATAATCCCTCAGGAAATAATATTGGTCACTCAATCCATGGTTGTTTATGGGACACTGCTGTGTACATTTGGCTGCCTCGTCTTGCTCACAAAATATACAACAATTCACTTCACAATATATTCTGTGAAGCTCTTTGAGACGTCTCAAAGACATGATAAGGCCCTATATCAAATACAAGGATTATTATTATTAACCAGAGGAGACTACACATATGCCCATCCATAGCACATTGAATAGAAAGTACTGGGTGTCTTACTAGGCTTTCAAATACAATGTAATGTAATTGGCTTCAAATTGTCTTTTTATCAAAGTGAAGTCACGGCTCTGCTTAATTAGTGCTATCAATGTAGTATAATTAGTTTAACTGTCTACCGTTGTCAATTATAAGGCGAAGGTTTACTCATCAACCAGTGCTGATTGTGGGTATTTTGTTTTGGTCAGTCGAGTGTCTGACACATTGGGGAAACTTATCACAATGCTTAAGAGTATGCAAACCAGACTGAGAGTGCCACGTATTAATGACCCTACAGATGGAAATTTCCCTGTGTCTGAAATGAAATACCCACTCTCTCCCTGGAGAGCTACTTCCTGCTTACCTTGTAATGAGTGTAGATCGACAAGAGCCAAGACTGGGACTGCAGAATACCCTTTGGGGTACTTCTGATGCCAGCTTCTGAGGAATGTGCACGGATCCACAGGCCATTTTTTAATACTTGCATTGAATACTACAATAGCTTCAACCTCCCGAGTCAAGGACTGAGGCGCACTCCATTCTGGATTTAATAAAAACTAAAAAAAAATGCTGGCTATATTTATAAAATTAAAAATTGTTTCACTAACTTTGTCCTTGTTTTCTCTCACAGGTATTATGTGTCAGATGGATCAGACTCTCATCTGACTGAATGTCTGCTGTGCTCTTCTGCTCCAATGGGAACTACAGAATGTTCAGGTTAGTCTTTTGCTGTGATCATAAGGGAGGGTCAAATGAAGAGGGTCCTTCGTCCCACCTCATCTCACTCTTCCGCAACATCCATCACATCCATTGTCCCATTACGTCCAGGCGGCCTGTTCAGGTGGACGTTAAAGGTCCTGCACTAATTCAAAAAGAGAAAGTAGTTTATCATGTTGTCCTGGACAACCATCCCTCAGAATCACTTTCTTCATTCAGGCTGTTTGCAGGATGTTGCTCTACGCAAATTGGCTGTCACATTTGTCATTACTTCGCAGTAAAATCCTCTGAAGTCCTTTGAGACGTCTCAACAATGTGATAAGGTGCTAAATCAATTCAAGGATGTTGATTATTATTTATTATTAATATTATTATGATTACTACAGCATCCAGCTGTTTCTTAAAGGAGTCCAGCATCTTGGCTAATTTGTGCAAGGCAAGTTTTCACAAACGATAGAGGGATAGATATTTGGACTTGATTTCTGTGAGGAGCAATCAATGCTGCGTCAATGCACACCTTTAAAAAAAATGTGAGTAGAAGAACCTAAAGGACGGGGTGTAAAAATGTCTCTGCAAAGCGCTCCGAGACATTATTCTACGTGGAAGGTGCTATAGAAATTCTGGTGGCTTTTGTTGTTGATGATGAATGATGTGCAGGCAGAACTGCTGGCTGCTCCACTTCGATAAATCTCCCAACCTGCGTCACTGACATCATTGCATCTTTGCCCATTCCTGACGCAGCAAAGTGTGTAAACGCAGAGGATTTCAAGGTTAGAGACAGACATTCCAAGCGCACTGTTAATTACAGGGAAAGGAATAAGAAGACGGTACAAGAGATCAGTGAGCTGCCAGCCACTGCAGCACCGCTCTGTACCACCGAGGTGCTCTCTGTGCCTTGGAAAGCCTGATTTTCACACAGGCTTTAAATTTCAGCAGATGTTTGCTGCAGGTACACGCAGTGAATCTCCCTATACAATGATAGCATTCCTACAGCACAGAAGGCCATTCAGTCCCAACATGGCTGAAAGGCTGTTCATTTACTCCCATTGTCTTTTTTCCCCAAAATATATTTGTTGAAAAGCTATTATAAACACAATGAGAAAAGCACAATGTAAATTGTATTATAATATGGATTCAGTTACCAGTGGGAAACCTACTCTTTTGATAACAATCACAAGAGGTTAAAGTACTGATGATATAAAATGTTAGCTTGGCTAAGTTGATAATACTGTGCAATCCTTCTCTGTCTCTGGGTCAGAAGGTTGTTGGATCAAATCCCATCTCAAGACATTGAGCTCCCAGTCTAGGTTGACTTTCCAGGATGGGGTTGGGTGGAGCTGCATTGTCGGAGATGTTGTGCATGACAGTTTTCAAAAAGAGTAGCGAATGTCTTAATAATAATCCTTGCATTTGATATAGCAAATATAGCAAATATAGCACCTCATCACATTGTCACGATTTCTCAAAGAGCTTCACAGGATACGCTGTAAAGTTGATTCAACTGTATTTTGTGGGTGAAACAGCCAATTGTGCACAGCAATGTCCAATAAATAGCCATGGAGTGAGTGACCAATTTTATTTGGGAGATTTGTTTGCCTGGACACTGGGAGAAACTCCCTTTTCTTTTCGAATAGTGCCTTGGGTTCAATAGCATCCACCTGAACAGGCAGACAGGGCCTTGGTTTAACGCCTCATCCAAAGGATGTCACCTCCGACAATGCGACACCCCCCTCCTTCAGCACTGCTTTGGAGCATCAGCTTAGTCTATGTGATTCCAAGTCTTGACGTGAGGCTTGAACCACAACCTTCTGTTTTACACGCTACCATAGGATGCTACCCTGTGTGAGGGGCGCTATATAATTGGATTTGTTGTTTCTGAGACAAAATTGTAACCATCGAATCAGACTGACACTAAGAGTCTTGGCTAAGAGTCCTCCAGATTAAATCAATTAATTCATGATTTGTGGGACATTATCTTTATCTAAAACTGCGCAATAATTATTGTTTGCCTACCAAATAAACAGTGCTTCAATCCTCTGAAGTGCTTCAGGAAGTCTTACTGACTTGAAAGGCGCTATATCAAATGCAAGGATTATTATTCGTAGTGGTATTGGTATTTGATTACCTGTGAAACACTTTGAGATATTTCAGTGTTACAGGCAAGATTCTAAATGCAAGAATTTTTATTGTTAATAAAGTAGGATAAGCAATAGCGACTTTATTAATGGTGAAATATCACATCATCAGCAATTCAGATCTGCTGTTCTAAATGAAAATTATACTCACTGTTTCCTGCACTGTAACATTATCCCAGAACTCTCCCTACCCCAGGGAAAGGAATTACTTTGTAATATCTCTTACCTGAGAGGAAAAATAATGACAATCCTTGCATTTGGTACAGCGCCTTTAACTTCAGGAGGTCATCTCAAAACACGTCACAGGTTTTACTGTAAAGTGAGGTAACTTTGTAATTTGTAAGCGAATGTGGGAGCCAATTTGCTCCCAGCAATGTCCCATAAACAGCCATTTTATCTGGAGGATTGTTGGCCAGGACACCGGGAGAAACTCCCTTCTTTTTACAAGGTGGGATATTGGTTTTAACACATCAAAAATGCATCACACCTCTCAGCACTGCATTGGAATGTGAGTCTAGACTGTGAGTTCAAAGTGAACCCACAAACTTCTGACTCAGTGCTATCAACTGAGGCAAGCTGACCCCTTTTATCAGTGAAGAATCCTGGTCATAAAGGACTTACTTTTTTGGTCACTTCCTTTTGAGGACTAGATATTGATCTTAATGCGTCTGTTCAATGCGGGAAGCAGAAGAGTTGAGTTAAACTTTGGTTGACCCAGTCTGATGCCACTACACACCTCCATCCCTCTGCCTCACCCTCTCTTTATCTATCATTAAATCCCAACTTAAGACCTACGGTCACCTCCCCTCCCCTATTCTCCATTGCTCAGCATCCAACCCTGCTGCTGTACGGTCCTCCAAGACACTGCCCTGCGTGAAGGGCACTCTGTAAATACAAGTTGTTATTGTCGTTGATGTTACTTCCTGCTTTACACAGTAAGAAGTGCTGAGGGCTCTCCCCAAGCGGAGGCATCAAAATCATCTAACCGCAGCAAGGACGGGACACAGGAGGAAAAGAAGATGAAATACGCTGTGTTTCTCCTGATGCCAGTCTTCTGCGTAATAGGACTGCTGGGGATTCTGGTGTGTAACTTGCTGAAGAAAAAGGGATATCGCTGCACCTCAGAAAAAGATGCCAAGGAGGGGATCGAGCTAGAGACCAAATATGGTACATAGTCTTCTCTCTTGCTTTGGTTTATAATAATATTCCTTGTATTCAATTCTGTGTCAGGTCACATCAGGAGGTCATCTCAAAGTGCTTTACAGGATCTACTGTGAAATGAAGCCCCCGTGTATTTGTAGGCAAACGCTGTAGCATTATTGCGCACAGCAATGGCCCACAAAACAGCCATGGAATGAGTGACTAATTTTATTTGGGGGCTTGTTGGACATGGGATCTTTAATATCCGCCTGAACAGGCAGATGGAACGTTAGTTAATGTCTCATCCAAAGGAGTCATGTTCTCTCAGCGAGAGATAAGGATCACTCAAGGCAATTCAATCACAGACTTGCTAGTGTTTTGACACCAGCGCTTCCTCTTGTGAGATCTGACTGTTTTTTAAATAGCAGAGAAGCAGAGAAAGTCCAAGTTCCCAGTAGCGCTTTCACTATGAAAGCAGTAGTACCCAGTGCGTTGTTCGGGTGGGGGGGAGTGCGGGAAATGTGTAATGTGTTGTGCTAAGAAAATACATTCTCCGTCTGTGTGAAATTGCACAAAAATGGATTGTGGCAACCGAGTAAAAACGGATGGAGGAACAGAGACATTTGATGACAACACTATCTGTTTCCTGGGAACACTCAGCAGGTCAGGCAGCATCTATGAAGAAAGGAAAGTGAGTCAACGTTTCTTCGTCAGAACTGCTGCCTGATCTGCTGAGTGTTCCCAGCGACTCCTGTGTTTGTTTCAGATTTCCAGCATCTGCAGTATTTTGCGTTTTGTCTGTTTCCTGTTATTGTTTGTGAGTGGCAGTGGTTTTACCAGAATAGTGTGTCGATGCTTACTCACATCCCTCCCATTTACAGGCAGGGAATTGGTTGAGGTGGAGGTTGCTCCAGGGAAAGGTATCTACAAAGGGGGAGAATTTGTGACATATGTACGACGTGAGCTTGTTCGCAGCTCTTCAGAACTTTTGTTTCCTGCACAACATTTTTCCTGTAACCTATGGAGGGAAGGACTCATTGTTCCAACAATCTGCACAGATATAGAGTCTCTCATGTAGGATGAACATCTCAAACAACAACAACAAATTAAATTTGTGTAGCGCCTTTCAGGTCGGGAGGACATCCCGAGGCACTGAAACCACTTCGCAAAAATGTTGGGAATCGCTCGGATCCAGAAGGCAAACCCTGCATTTGGATATTAAATAGGTATCGGTCTGTACTGAGTCAGGCTCTGTATCTCAAGATGACCCCCGTTATAAAGCTTTTTTGTTAGAATAGCAAGTTGACATAACGAGGTCCTATGGACCTGTGCAGGACTGTACAATCAGCTTCCTGTACTAGAAACACAGAGGACTTCCAGGGCATCAGGTCGCCGCCGATGTTACTTCCTTCGTGCGGCGCATGTGAGTGACATCAGGCGGCACTTCCTGAGCATGGATAGCGTGCGGGAAATGACATTCGTTTAATGCAGTTTTTTTTTTTAGTAGTTGATATCAAGAATAATAGGTCCTTGCATTTGATACCCTGCATTTCGCCCACAAAATATACAGTCAATTCACATTACAGTATATTCTGTGATGCGCTTTGAGACGACTCGAAGACATGATAAGGCTCTGTATCAAATGCAAGGATTATTATTATTATGGTAAACAGTGCCGTTTTCTAATGCAATGCGCTTTGCTAAATAATTTTTAATAATGATAAACCTTGCATTTGATATAGCATCTTATCATGCTGAAACATCTTGAAAGCACTTCACAGAGTTACAGACCAGATCAACAGTAAAATCTCCTATTCTTGCAGTTACTGGAATCTATTTCCTTCTCGAAAAAGACTCATTATAGCAGGAATATTCCTCTTGGGGAAAGTAGGGGAAAGCCAATAAACTTCTCTCAACCAATTAAGTCATGGATTGTAGAACAGTCCTCACTTTTTTTGTTTGACCTTTGAGAGGCAGAATTGAAAAAAATTTTTAATCACTGTATAAAAAATCCCCCTTGATGTAGTTGTGTTTGACCTTTCTCATGTGAAATGTACAGAGCCTCGTAAGCCTTACACAACACAGTGAACTGCTGACTTTCCATCCACCGTCAACCTAAATGTTTCCTTTTTTTTAACATCATACATTTTTAAACCCCAGCCAATTTGTGAGACTAAATCAAAAGTCGCCCCGAGGGACAGGTAATAAGGAATTCAGTGCTCATCCACACAAACATGTGTGTCTAGTTATTTTAGTCCCTATTGTTTCCGTCTTATCCATTTCTAGTTCAGCGTCTCTCAACAAAAAGATGCGTCAGCAAGTCGGGAGCAGTAGATATTTAGCCTCCCTATTCAATGGGATCAAAGCTCAATGGTTTCTGCTATTTGATGGAGATGTGTTATAATATCCTAATGCACTATCTATAGCAGAGTGAACCCCTTGATAAAATTGCCATTGCCATCCATTCTTAAACTCTTTTCCTTAATCCCATTCTTAACTCATTCTTAACCCCCCCTTTAATTCCTTCCACCTGCGATACTTTCTTGCATTTGATACAGTGCTTTTCATGTCTCAAAGTGCTTCGCACGATTTTACTATGAAGTTGGAGTGGTTGTGTTTTGTAGGAGAATATCAATGGGTGAAAATCATCCCTTCTATGTGATTTTTAAAATGACATCTCTATAACAATAATTCCTTCGACAATTCTCTGCTAAATATTTTTTTACAATGATAATCCTGGCATTTGATATGGCGTCTTATCACACAGAAACATCTCGAAGCACTTCACAGAGTTCAATACCAGTAAAATCTCCTATTCTTGTTGTGACTTGAATCAATTTCCTTCTAGAAAAAAGAGTTGTTAGGGCAAGAATATTCTAATTGGCCTGTTACATAACCAAGGAAATCATACAAAAAAAAAGGGAAGTGGGCAAACCAGTTCTTGGAATCGAGGTGTTTTGTGTAATATTTAATGTCAAATCTTCCGTAAATAAAATCTATCCCCTTCCCCACCTTTGCCTGAAGATCTACGATGTTCAACCCAGGTTGACAGCTTTGGTAATTCTCTGTTACTTTATTCTTTTCCAGTAGTTACTGTCAACTAATGACCTGGTTTACAAGTCAAAACCCCAGGATTACAAAACAAGCTTCGTTTCTGGCCCAAGAATGCTTGACGCAATGTGGAAAATATTGCACTCCTGCCATGCCTTACGTTTTTACTTTTGTTTGTTTGTCTTTGGTAACACTTCCTTGGATCTCAGTGGATTGATTTCCAATGATAACAAGGATTTATGAAGCATTTGTAAACAAAGCCTGGCTAACTGCAGAATTATTAGTTTATTAATGATTGTATTGATATAAATCATATTAATATATTATGAATTATTGCACATTCATTATATTAATTGATTATAATAATGAATTAAATTAATTTATCAAAAACGTGATAAGGCGTTATATCAAATGCAAGGATTATTATTATTCTGTGGAACTAACATGAGGGTCAAAGTATGGCTTCTATTTTTGGGTTCGAAAAGCAATCAGTCAGCAAAAGAGCGGTGTTCCTAGTTTAAAAAAAACTTTTTGTGACGGAAAAGAGAATTTAGGAAAACCTACTTCATGCAGAGGCCAGTGAATGCGAAACTCGCTGGAGTATAAACACCATCATGAACTGGTTGGGCCGAATGGTTTGTTTCCCTGTTGCACACTCTGTAAATCTATCTAAGGTGGTAACCAGAGGGTACAAATTTAAGATTTATTATCAAAATGACTAAGAGAGATGTTAGAGTCCTTTTTAGATGCAGAGAGTTGGTTATAAGAGCATTGAGCGCCCCACAAAAGGGGTGGTGGAAGGTGAATCCAACATGGCTTTCAAAAGGAAATTAGACAAATATCTGGAAAGGAACAATATCAAAGGGTATAGAGAAAGGAGCAGGATAACAACTACAACGTTTCATTTGTATAGCGCCTCTGCTTGCATTTTATATAGCGTCTTAATAATAATAATAATAATCCTTGCATTTGATATAGAGCCTTTAGGAGTTGTGTAGCTCAGTGGTTAGAGCACTCGCTTTTCACACAGTGAATCACAGCTTCTTCTAACATGGAAGCTGCTACATCAAATGCAGTGTTTGAAATAGTTTATAGCATTTCACTAAAAAAAATTGGATTCTAGTTAGAACTTGGGTTCTAATAAACATTGTAGAGTCCTGTAGCTCAGTGGTTAGAGCACTCGCAAGCGAGAAACCTGGATTCAATTCCTGGCAGAGGGCGAAACCTTGCGCAAGTTTCCTTACTCCACACCCCTGATAGTAATCCATCAAGAAAAAAAACAATATTGAAATTGGTCGCTTCAATCCACGACTGCTTGTGGGACACTGCTGTGCGGCCGCGTTTCGCCCACAAATATACAGTCGATTCACTTTACGGTATATTCTGTGAAGCGCTTTGAGAGGTCTGGAAGAGGTGAAAAGCGCTACATCAAATGCAAGGATTATTTATTTATTATCACGTCGTCTCAAACTACTTCACAGCATGTACTGTAAAGTGGACTATGTATTTTGGGGGTGAAACGCAGCAGACAGTCTGTGCACAGCAATGTCCCACAAAAAAGCAAAGGAGTGAGTGACGAATTAGCGCCATTGGATCTTTAACATCCACCTGAACAGGCAGACGGGACCTTGGTTTAATGTCTGATCCGAAGCACTTTCGTGTTGGGAGGGTGTCAAAGTCCTTCACAGAATTCACTGTAAATTTCAGCGAACGTTTGTATGCAAACACGATAGCCAATTTGCATACAGCAATGTCCCGCAAACAGCCAGGAAGCGAGATCTTTCTTACATTCTTGGTGCTGTGTCAAAGGCAAGATTTATGGTTGTTATTTCCTGCTGGCTGTAAAAGTAAAGTTGACAGTGACGGTAAATCTCACCCTGTTGGTTCCTTTACCGCACTTCACCACAGCACAAGTGTCAGACAGCAGAGCTCCACCAAAACAAATGCCACATCAGCTCTTTGATGGGTCAGTGGGTGTGTGAGCATTGTCTGGTGAAATGCTGAGGTACCGTAGAACAGGAAAGTCCTGGGATCAAACACTGGTCTGTGCTGAGTTAGCTGAGCTCATCCAGGACAACTGTTATTGCAGGACATTGAGCTAGGAAGTGGGAAAAGGATCATTTAGGATTCAACATATGTCACTATCCACTGATGAGGTCAAAGTCCCATAACCTTCTGACACAGAGGCCAGTGCTACCGACTGAGCCTCACTGACACATATTTTATTAATGTAATGCATTGAAAGTAATAAAAATATGACAAGTAGGTGTCTGATGTGATAGTGCGTAAATGCTGCGACAGAGAGAGACACAGATCAGTCAGGGTTTTGGTTTCATCCTGTGATAAGAACAGCAGCAGCAGCGGAATGGAATACATCAACCAGTTTTAACATCGTCAAGCTACACACAAGAGCGTTCAGATATTTATAGGGTAGTGGAAAACCTACTGGGAGATAATGAGTCATCCTGTGTAGCAGATCCATTTGTCACTGCTTTGCCATTCTCCAGGGTATTGTGCTGTTACCTTTGCAGTGTAATGAGAAACTCGTGATGGTGTACTGTTCTGGGACAAGGTCACTTGATGTTAAAATCTAGCAAAGGATCGCACCAACTTGGTGCTACATAACTGACAATTTGTATTGTACTGTATTGCTTGTATGGCTCCCTCTCAGAAAAAGAACTATAGAAAATATTTGTTCACAATTGCAGTCACTTGTGATGCACTTTGAGATGTTTTGACGCTATGTCAAATGTGTAGATTATCATATTATAAACTCCAACTCAGCATGGCACGAAGGTCGCTATATATTATTATTGTGCGCTTTAAATGCCATTGATATCACTTCCTGTGTAGAGTGACATAAGTGGCACTTCCTGTGTTTAGAGAGGGTGCATTATATGCAGGAAGTAATGTCAGCGGCACTTCCTGTGCATGTTCAATATGCGCAGGAAGTGGCTGGTTTGCGCCAAAGTGCATTGCAGGTCAGCTTTTAGACCGGCGTAACATACACATGCGCGAGAACAGGGTCGGCCTCTGGTTTCTTATCCAGCACCTTCAACAGACCAGTAGAAAATGATCCTAATCTTCAGTAGTGTCTATGACTAGCTACACACACAATGCTAACTTATCTTCGCCTTTTGGATGATGATTGACCTCCTATGGTTTTCTTTTCTCTTGTGTTCTCTTTTCCTAAAAATAATGAGGCAACATGGTTGGCAAACCATGCGGCTTTGGGATCTTGTAATTCTCAATTTGTCGTTTGGCAATTCTCAGTCTGACCTTTCCCCCCACCCTCATCTTTAACGTAATGGGTAGGTCTGAAACTGGCTCCAAAATTATGAAGCTGTTGAGCGCAGAGAGGGATTCAGCTGAGCCAGTGTTCTGTGAAGCTTTGACTCCATTGGAGAGATGCAAAGCATTGGGTTGGCTTCAAGACAGTGTGGATTTTCCCATTCAAGCACCACTCCCACCAACCCAACAATGTAGATTTATATGTAACAACAGACATCGTAAAGTGCTTCACGGGATTTTTTGCTGTAAAGTGTAGAGGAAAGCACTTGTATTATGTTAAAGATGCCATGGCATTTTTCAAAAAGAGAAGGGAGTTTCTCCCGGTGTCCTGGCCAACAATCTCCCAGAAAAAATTGGTCACTCACTTCATGATTGTTTCAGGGGATATTGCTGTGTGCAACTTGGCTGCGGAGTTCACCTACAAAACACACAATCACTACACTTTATAGAACATCCTGCAACGTGCTTCACAGGTACCAAAAAAAGTACCAAATGGAAGGATTATTATTATTATTACTAAAAAGGTTCTTGTTTTTCACCACCAGACAGTAGCGGAGGTCCCTTCAGAACAGATGAGGCCAATGAGGATACAATCGGTGTTCTGATCAAGCTGATCACAGAGAAGAAAGGTGCTGATCTTTCCATTTCTTTTAATAGCACCTTTGGTTAATTGAATATTTAGAATGAGATGTCTTGCATTGAAGGTGGTATGTCAATCTGGCTCAGTCGGTAGTGCTCCCACCTCTGAAGCATGAAAGTTGTGAGTTCAAGTCCTACATCAGGTCTTTGAGGTCCATATAGTCAGGGCCAGTGGTGGCCTACGAGCCATCAAGAAGCTCCCCCTGATCATTTGCACGAGTCTAGGTAACTCTGTTCGATCAGAATCAGTAGTCAAGGCCGGTCTCAAGATCCTTCTCTTCGATCGTGCCTTTGGTCGCCCTCCCAACTCTCTGCCTTCCCTCACCCTTCACCACCCCTCCCCCTAAGACTCGCGTGTTTCCAGTTTTATCTTGATTGACTGACAGTGTTCAAACTCAGTTTGAAGGTCAATGACTTTTTTTCCCCCACTTATCACAGAAAATGCTGCCGCCCTGCAGGAAATGCTGAGGGAGCACGAAATGAAGGAAGCAGTCATCAAAAGCAATGCGGTGGAAAAGTAAGTCCGGCTGTCCTTTAATGATGGGCTTCAGACTTATGGGATTGCTGCAAAAGGCAGTAAAATGGTCTCTTAAATGAATCCAATGCCCTGCCTTCTGCAACTTTTCCCTGCGACTGGTTCCAGCTGTCAATTATCCTCTGTGTCAGAAATAGTTTCACAGACTTGTGAGCTCTTGCCCCATTGCCTTGCCCTGATATGTGAGTGTCTGTATGTGTGTGTCTGTTGGAGGCACCATTCTTTCACAACTTGGTAAGTCAGATGAGATCAAGACCCCGATTACCTGTTTAGGTGGAAGTTAAAGATCCCATGGATCCAGTTGAAAAGAGAAGGAGAGTTTCTCCTAGTGTACTGGCCAACAATCACACAGATAAAATTGATCGTTCACTTCATGTCTGTGTGTGGGACATGCCTATGTGCATATTGGCTGCCATGTTCACCTAAACATGCAGCCACTGAACTTCATAGCATAAATCCGGTGAAGCGCTTTGAGATGGCCTCCTGACGCGAAAGGCACTGTATCAAAATGCAAAGGATTATTACATTCAGCTCAGACTGATTGAGGTCAAAATGTCTTTTATCTGTGAGTTGTCAGTTCTGCTTGAGATGAGGTTGGCTCAACTGGATCTGGGGACAAAATAATTTAGATGGTAATGGAAACAACTGAGCATATTTGGACAGAGTGTGTGTGTGTGTGTGAGTGTGTGTGGTGAGCGGGGAGAGTAGGAAAGGTCATTATTATTTCATTCAACCTCCAAAGGGGTGATGGATACCATTAATAATAATAATAATGTGAACAGAATGAGCAAGAATTTCATTTCCAAGCGCTTGACAACAACACATTACATTTGTATTGCGCCTTTCAAGTCGGAGGACATCCCAATATATACACGGGACCGAACTGCGCAACGTAAACTCCAGTACTGCAGTTTGCTAAGCATAAAATTCACACCCTCCCCCACCCAAAAAAAAAATAATATATTTTTTGCGTAGCAGAAAAACGTTAGCGGAGGGGGCTCAGGAATGCATTGGTTCGAAATTCACTCGACTCCCCTCTGTGTGAGCTGTGTGACCAGAATAATCTGTCAGAGCAGGTGATCAGTGGCATCCCTTGTGTGTGTACAGCGCCTGACGTGACTATGGCAACACAGCTGTGGAACTCGCTCCTTTCTCGAGCGACATGAAAAGGTACTTGGGTGGAAACAGCAGCCTCGTTCGGTCACGTGTGTATATCACGGCCTTGGATACATAAGCTTTTAACTCAGGGAAGTGGAGCTGTGTGCCCCAGTCATCCACCCAGTGAATGGAGACCTCGCAACACAATACAGGAGTCTTGTACCTCAGTACTTAGAGCTCTCACCTTGCAAGTGAAAGGACCACAAGGTTCGATTCCCAGGCAGGGTGATACTTTAGCCAAGTTTCCTTACTCCACGTGCCTCTGTTTACCCAGGAGTCAGTAGGAACCCGATTAGTTAGTCGATTGGTGGATCGCTTTCCGGGGGTAATAATCCCTTAAAAAAAAGTTGTTAATTTGGTCACTCATTCCACAACACTGGGACACTGCTGTGCGCAATTGGCTGCCGCGTTTCGCCCACAAAATATACAGTCATTCACTTTAAAAATATATTCTGTGAAGCACTTTGAGACATCTCGAAGACGTGATAAGGCGCTATATCAAATGCAAGGATCAATATTATTATAAAACTGTGTAGTTCAACAAAAAGGAAGCATCAGCCACTTCTGCATTGCCGTGGGAACAGCAAACGTCAAAGCATCTCACAGGATTTTTACTGTAATAAGTAATGGCAAGCATGGAGAAAAACACACACCATACACACATTTACACACACACCATACACACATTTACACACACACCATATACACCCTCATACAGACATACCAACACACACACACACACACACCATATACATACTCACTCACACACTCACTCACAAATCCACACATACATACCATACACACACATGTCATATGCACCTACACACGAGCGCAAAGCATACACACACACACATACACCATCAGAGACAGAGATCAAAGCATCAACTGTGTGAAAAACCTTGGCTGTTCTATTTTTAGTCGATCAATCTGTCTGGAGGTTAATCGGCAAACAGCATTGACAGTGTTTAGGTGGGGGGGGGTGGGGGGGAATAGCTTCCTATCTGCAGCATAATCTTGGTGCAGAGACATCACAGATGATTTGAGGAGAGTGGAAATTCTCTCACAGAGCTGGCTGGCAGCCAGTTGTGTAATTAGCCCAGGCCCTCGCTCACTGCTCGGGCGAAGCGGAGCTGGGAGGACGGCAGCTTTGATAGATTCTATCTCCATGGTTCGCAATGATTTATTGGGTATTCGGATAGGAAACAAAGCGGGTGGCAGACTCTCACTGCCCCTGAGCTCTGGGCCCTTCATTTAGAGGAGGGTTTGGGTGGTTTTATCCCAGCCAGCGTAACCACAGCAATCGCTATTAGCATTTAATAATTATAATCCTTGCATCTGATATGGCACCTTATCACATCGTCGAGACTTCTTCTCAAAGTGCTTCACCGAATATGCAGTAAAGGGGATCAACTGTATCTTTTGGTGGGCAAAACACACACACGCACACATACCAATACACAGACACACACCGTCCACAAAATTCTATGTGCGAGCCCTTTGCCTCCAGAGATCCTCTTCCCTGTTCACGTTCTCTTCCTCTCAGCTCCCTCCCCCTTTGTCTGGGGACATTTCGCAATGACGTACATTCTGCATCAATAACATACAGCGGGGGTGGGGGGGGAGAATCATAGAGTTACATAGCGTGAAACAAGCCGTTTGGTTTAACTGGTCCATGCCAGTCTTGCCAGAACCCCCCACCTCCCCCATTCCTCTCTCTTTTATTCATACACAGTCACTACACTTAACAGGAACTTCTGCAAAGTGCTTTGAGACGTTTTGGAGTGATAAGGTGCTGGATGAAATGCCAGGATTATTATTATCGTTCCAGAATACCTCCGTATAACCTTCCTATTACAGCATCCAACTGTTTCTTAAGTACATCTGGGGTGTGTTGTGGGGGAGTGTGGAGGGAGCAGCTGATGATCGTTCTTTCATCGTCTCTCCACTGACAAACACTAACAGATTTCTCCTCCCTTCCCCCTCCAGGTTCGTGCCATTGCTGTCCATTCCCAAACTGTGTAAACACCATCACCTTCACACCGTGCAGACGTCCTCCCTGCAGACGGGGTCCAGCTGCATGAGGTGCAATCAGAAGAAGTGGCCGGACCTGCTACTGACTAAAGCTGCCAAACCCTCAGCCAGAGCGAGCAGACCTGGCGAGTACACCATCCTCTCTGTGGGCAGGTAAGCAGCTCACTGCACTGCGCTCCGCAACTTTGCAGGAGAATTTTATACAGGTCCAGGGTGAACGCATTACCCAGTGATGGTTCAGATACACTGAAATAAAAACATTATAGCACCTGCTAACTCTGCAAGCCAAAACTCTAAGGGGTAGGCTGGTTCCAGCTGGACAAACAGTGGGAAAGCTTGCTGTGCTGGACTAACCCAAACCCCAAGATGGAATCTTCGATCTTAAAATCTAACGTCAAGATTTTCAGAGGTTGTCAATGTTGTGACGACTATGAACTTCATTTGCTATCGAGGAACAGCAATACTTTGTGTACATATTACGGCCAGCTCATGATTTAGGGTCTTTGAGCAGTGAGTTTCACTGATCCAGAATTTTCACTTCCTTCTCCTTGTTAACAACAGATTCCGTGTTGCCCGGATTCCTGAGCAAAGGCAGAGCCTGAATGAATCAGAAAGCCAGTCTTTGGCAAGTGAAAGCCCGGCTACCCAGAATGAGCCTGAGGGGCAGAAACCTCCGCCTGACACCGTCTCTCCAACCCGCACGAAAGACATTGCTTAACATCTGCAGAAAGCAAACAAGAGGTAAGAACATAAGAATTTGGTAGACGAAAGAAGATCAAGGTCCATCCAGTTCACCTTCCGCCATCCTGGCAGTCGCAAAGTATATTGTATCCCAAGATATTATTTTCTTGCAGAAATCTATCTAATTTGTTCCCGAAAGAATTAAGACTTTCTGCTTCCACCATCTCCCGAGGGAGCCTGTTTCTACTCACTCACTGAAATAGTGTTTCCACAGATTTGTTCTGAATTTACCTGCCTTCAATCACAGGCCGTGTCCTCTGGTTCTACTGTTCAGTACAAGATAAAACAGCTTATCATGGTCTACAATATCTATTCCCTTCAGAATAGTAAAGACCATAATCATATCGTCCCTCAACCTTCTTGTCTCCAGCGTGAACATGCGCAAGGTGCGAGCCAAGATATTGGTGGAGTGTGCCCTCATGGTTCATTCAGTGCTAAATTCACTGCTAGGTTCCTATGATAAATAATGATAATGATAATCCTTGTGTTTGATTGAGACGTCTCAAAGCGCTTCACAGAATATATTGCAAAGTGGATTGACTGTATATTTTGTGGGCGAAATGTGGCAGCCAATTGCACACAGCAGTGTCCCACAAACAGTCGTGGATTGAGTGACCAAATTATTATTATTATTACTTATCTTGTCAAACCTTTGTCTTTCGTTCAAACAGATCTGACTGAATCTGCCAAAAAGGGCGCCGTAGGCAATTTGTGAGGTATTCGGTGTTTGAGCTGAGCTGAAGGCAGTCACTGTACAGAGTGGAATAAGGAGCAGTGCTTTTAAAACAAAAACTCGCGAATATTCTACATCGTCTCCAGAAAAACTAGAGGAAACGGGGTTCTCTGGCGTGCTCGCGAGGAGCGCCATCACGTTCACTTTTTTTGAAGCTGAGTTTTGAGGAACAAAGTATGTTTACAGACGAACGTGTGGATTATGCTGCGGGGATCAGGAACAGGTCCCCGCTTCCGTTAGATTACATGCTGCTCCGTGTCGCATAATTTTTTCTAAAAAAATTAATGTCACACATAAGAAAACATTACAACCTTTTGAGAACCTGTATTCAAAGCTGTGGTTTCCAGTTTGTTGCCATTCACCCACCCACCCACTCGCACAAACCCTCACACACACTGCACGCTCCTGACATTTGCGAAAAGTGCACTTTTGGATATTAACATAGGAAATTAGGAAATGCTAGTTGAAAAAAGACCAAGGTGCATCTAATCCGTCTTCTACCATCTTGGTAGTCGCCTGCTACAATAATGGAGATGTTGGCAGCAATTAATTCTGTATAGACAACAGGGTGGAAAGCTTTGGGAACCTTAGATCCAAAGTTGCCTGGTTCTTCCAAATTACACTCGCCATGTCTCAAATTATTCATATACTGTATCCCAAAATATTATTTTCTAACGGAAATCTATCTAATTTGTATTTAAATGAATCAAAATTTTCTGCTTCCACCGTCTCCCTTGGGAGCCTGTGCCATAGAATTACCGCTCGCTCGCTGAAATAGTGGTTCCGCAGATTAGTTTTGAATTTGCCCCCGTTCAATCGCAGGCTGTGTCCTCTGGCTCCACCGTTCTGGACAAGATGAAACAGAAAGATGAAAAGAATATTTCCTTTTGAACATTTTTCTGCTTGAATCTGTAAGAGCAAGTGAAGAGTTCTTGTGATGCCAGGGAGAGTAATTTACCCCTCAGCACTCAGTGTGCCATGTGAAAAGGACCGAGTGTTAATGTTTTGTACAAACCTTAACTTATGTTACACGGCTCAATTCTGTACACGGGAAGACCCAGTAGGATGGGTATTCAGGATGGATGAAATTCATCCGAATCTCCCTTCGTGATATTTTTCTGGTGTCTTGACCAACACTTCTCTGGAAAAATTATTATTAATAATAACAGTAATATTCCTTGCATTTGGTAGTGCATTATTCACGCCAGAAGGCTGCCGCAAAGAGCGTCACAAGATTTTACTGTAAACACTTTGTAGATCAGCCTCTAATTTGCACACAGCAATGTCCCACAGCAAAAGCCATGAAGTGAGCGACCAATTTTATTTGGGGGATTGCCAACCAGGAGACCTGGAGAAACCCTCTTCTCTTTTCGAATAGACATGGCATCTTTAAAGTCCATCTGAACAAGCTGATGTGATCTTGGTTTAATGTCTCATCCAAAGGCTGCCAACTCCAACGATGTAGCGTAACCCCCAGCACTGCATTCGAGTTTGAATTCGGGCTGAACCCACAACCTTCTGACTCAGTGGCGAGAGTGCTATCAACTGAGTCAGGCTATCAATCTAATCTGGCACACGGACGGTTAAGAGTGTTATAAAGTGTCAAAGGCAGCGCATTCCGCAGGTGCTCATTTTTGTTTAAAAAGTATTAAACTGGTCAAAGTGGTCACCACAGCTTTCAGTCAGTACCTTTTCTGTTAATTGCGTTACTGTAAATGAGTATAACGTAAAAAAAGACAAGCAATAATATTCCTTTTTACAGGAGCACTAGGGTAAGAGAACATAGTAACCTACCTCTGTGAGTAAATGCTGTTGCCGTTGCCTCTCACATCCTATCCTGTTTCCTCTAATCGGATTGGGAATGTTTAAGATGGGAAACTCTCCCTCAATAATACATCACCACAATGTCCGCTCCCACTAGAAAGCAAATGAAGCACAGACTTCCGTTGGAGGAGGGGGAGTGGGAGGAATGGTTGTTGATTTGCTATTTGCAACCGTGGGAATAGTGTGAAATATGAACAGCTTGAGAGCAAATTTTGATACCCAACTTGCCAATATCTCAAATTAGATGTGGATGGCTTGCACAAGTCTTAAATAGCACTTGCAATCAGTTTGCAAATATTTAAATTATATTCTCTTTCTCCCCACCCCTCCCGACCCCTGAGTCTCCCCCCTCCCAAGTCTCCCCCCGCCCCCTACCCTATTATATAACTTGGGCTGTTTACTGCGCTGGTTCAATGGGTTGATGGTGTGACTCTTTATCTTCTCTCCGCTGCTCGTCTCCACACACCAGTTTTCAACCACCTTCTACCCCCTGCCCTGGCCTGCCCCCCCCCACTTTGACATGGCCTCCCAACATGTGAAGCGCTACATAAATGTAATTTGTTGACTTTGTCCTCCTCAATGTCCTTCCATTGACTGGCGAGAGCCTGAGGATTGTATTTGCCCTTTCCCCTCTTAATTTACTGGGATGGCCAAGGACAGTGTGAGGCAATGGCCGAGAACAGTTTGCGTCATCGTGAAATCAGGATATAGTGATATTTCTGTAGCCTCACCAGTTTGACTCACGTGCTATTTTCCAATCTCTTAAAAATGTAGTCAGAGACATCAGAACTGAGGTTATACAGCACTTTTCATGTCGGAAAAATCCCTAAGGTGTTCTCCCCACCACACCCCCACCACCCCACTCACAAAGTCTGTTTCACTCATTCCAATTATAAGTATAAGCATTTACAGTAAACCTCACATAAATAGTATCAATTGGGATCATACATTTAATACGACTTAGGCAACGTAAGAGTTATGTCAAACTTGCGTAGAACATAAATGTCTTCCCGATGTGAAAGGCGCTTTACAAATATAATTTTCTATTGTATAAGCTCTTGAACGGGATTTGGGCAGAATCGGGCGATTATAAGATTTATACAGATCAGACTTCTGCGAGTTTTACTGCATGTTGATTTGCCAACGGCAAGGCCTTTTGTAATATTTATTTTACTGTTTACCTAATTTATTTCCTCTCTCGTACCAATACTTTGCGTTTTGCTGCACAATACTGACAACGCATCGATGGGTCAATAAAGTTGGCACACACTGTGCAATGTATTTATTTTTGGGGTTGGCAGGGAGTTCTGTTGTTACCAGGGTTTTTACTGTGTGCCTGTGCAAACAAAATAAAGTTTGATACTCACACTCACGGCGGAAGCCAAACTCTCTAGTTTTTCTTTGACAAAATGTCACATTACAGCACCTGGTTTCCATGGCATTGGGAGGCAGAGCTTTTATGTGCATTTGGAATCGGTCTGGCTTAAACTACTTGGTACAATAATAACCTTTCATTTGCTATAGTGTCACTCACATCGTCTCAGAAGTGCTTCACTGGATTTAATGTAGAGTGTATTTGACTGTATTTAGGCGAACATAGATGCATTATTCAGTACAGAGAAGGTACAGTATGTTTCTGCTGTCAGCCTCAGCGCTTGAGAAGCCGCAACTGCTCAGATCATACCAATAACAAGGATTATTATTATAGATCTTGTAAATCAGTAACAAAAAAATCACAACAGCATTTAAAATGCCATACAGTACTACACCCTTAAACAACAACCTGCATTTATATAGCGCCCTTCACATGCGGTAGCATCTCAGAGCGCTTAACAGTGGTGGAGCCTGACCCCGAGTAGGGGAGAGAGGGGAGGTGACTGAAGGCGCAGTCGAAGATAACATAAGAGGAAGGTTTTCAATGTGATCTGGAGACAGGCGAGGATGGGACAAGGCGGAGGGATTGAGGCAGAGAGTTCCAGAGTTTCGAGCTGTAGTGGCAGCTGTTATTACATTGTCTGGTTACAAAAAAAAACCACAAAATATTCTTCAGCTTCAAGTGACTTCCTTCGTCATTGAAGGTTCCATTGAGTAGTTGGCAACACGAGATGCCAACGGCCACACCACAGACCCCTCTAGTGGACGTTGTTATATAAGAATAATCGTCTTTGCAATTTATATCGCGCCTCATGTCATCGAAAAGACTTAATGTCTCCATGACAATAAATTGAGTGATTCCTGTCTAAATGTGGTGGGGGAAAAAAAGAACATGCATTTGTTTTGATCACCCGGGTGTCTGACACATGTTGAAACACATCACTATGCTTCGTATCCAAACCAGAGAGTTCTGTGCATCCCACCTATACATGGAAAGCCCTGTGTGTGGAATGGAATGCACACTCTCTCTCGGAGGGACGCATCACGTTTTACCTAATTCCAGAGAGAATTGGGAACAAAGCTGGCAAGAATATTTTTATAGTACATTTTCACATCTCGGAATGCTTTCAGTTATTTGACGCCAACTCCAGTTCGATTGACCCGGCTGTTAATGGTTCACCTTGCTTAGGAATAAGATGAAAATGTCTCCACACTTTTTCTAGGATCAAAAGATGTTTCCACAACCTTCAGTTGGCCCCTTGATTACACCCCTTCTGTGGCAAATCCATCTCTGGTTGAACTCTGCACTTCCGTGGAGTCCTGTAGCTCAGTGGTTAGAGCACTCGCCTTGCAAGCGAGACACCTGGGTTCAATTCCAGGCAGAGGGCGAAACCTTGGGCAAGTTTCCTTACTCCACACAGAGCCTAATAATAATCCCTCCAAAAAAAACCGATAATAAATTGGTCATTTTCAATCCACTGCTGTGCGCAATTGGCTGCCGTGTTTCTCCCACAAATATACAGTCAATTTACTTTACAGTATATTCTGTGAAGCGCTTTGAGACGTCGAGAAGACATGAAAAGCGCTATATCAAATGCAAGGATTATTATTATTATTATCATCGCATAAGTCCAGCGGCTTCAGAGAAAGTGTGAAGGGAACCTGGATGGAATACTATCTTGCCTGATAGAAATGTTCAATCATTGAAACTTCAGAACAGGGGTTGTCCATTGTACCAGGCCACGCTGACTCCCCTTCGTGACTCTCTGCTGTAATACCATTCCCATTAGCCGGGAGGCATGTTGGAAGTGAAACTCTAGCGATCATAAGAAATAACATGTAGGCGGGACAGAACTAACTCAAACACACAGACTGCACTATCGCATCCTCCCTGATTCGTGAATGTGGCAACCTGTTGAAAAATGTTTCATGCATAATTCAGAGCATCTGAAGACTACCTTCCGTGGAAAGAAATACTTCCTGGCTTCTGTCCTAAAATTGTTCCTCACAACTTCAAACCTCGTGCCCTGCTGCCTTAATATATTTGAAAGGAAAATGTATTCGGCTTTTTTCAAGCAGTTTTAAACCAGTCTTTAGCAACAGCACCACCCAGTGTTGTTGCTGAACACTGTAGTTAGCACCAATAGGCTGTTCCTACTCGTTGGGGAGTCCATAGCCAAGAGACGCAAGTATAAGACAGGAACTAGGGGATCTAAAAGAGTATTTAGGAAGAACAACATCACGCAGAACATAGTGAGATTGTGGAACTCGCTGTCCGAAGCAGTGCTTGAAGCAGATAATTATAGATACATTCAAGAGGAAGCTAGATACACACATGAGATAGAGGGGAATAGAAGGGAATGGGCAGGAG